TTCATCATCTGGTCTGGGGATTTTAAACAATTCGCCATGTCGCCACCCAACCCAATTCTAATTTACTGTCACTGCTATAATTTAAAGACAATAATGTGTATGTGTACCTGTATATCATATCCACCTTCAACATGAACGTAAGGAGAATAGTTTACTCTTGCATCCTTTGCACTCTGATTACGGCACTATTTGTCAATATGTCTGTATTGTTTTGTTCATAGTTTGTATATTAGTGTTGTCTACTCTGTAGTTTGTGTCTGATTTGATATTATTATTATTATTTTATTATTGTATAAGTAAGCACATTGTGAGCAATGTACAATCCTGAATCTAATTCCTCACATGTGTGCACATACCTGGCAATAAAACTGATTCTGATAAGTGTTGTGTTATTCTTACCAGCTTAGTAATGTCATAGACAATGACAGCAGCAGCCGATCCTCGGTAGTACATGGGTGCTAATGAGTGAAACTAAAAAGACAACATATTTATAGCAGTTAGCATGATCGAGCAATATATCAACTCAAATCTTATTTGTATCACACTTTTATACACAAATGTCATCCTTTATAAAGATGACTTCAAAAACAGTCTGTGGCCATTCAAACAGAACACAATCTTAAATCTGGGTCATAAATTACAAATGTTGTGTTAACCCATAAAACACAGTTAACTTTACTGTGAGTGGACTATACCCTTACATTCTTAAGTGATGAGTGGTCGATGGAAAAGGTTACTTCCTTACAAGTTTCAACTCCTCTTCACTCACTGTGAAGGTTACAGTTTATGTGTGGGTGTTATGCAGAATGTTCTGATAGGGAAATCTTTAAAGTCTCTACCTGAAAGTTACAAATTGTAATTGACTGTACCTTAAAATGGTTTTCAAACATCCAAATCTTTTTATTTTTGTTTCCACACCTTGCAATCTTCTTCTCTTTTACCAGTACACTGCTAACTTTACAGGACATCACATCATCACTGTACTCATGGAAAATCATGCAATACACACTAGTGCTAGACCGATTAATCGGGCTGAAACCTGCACTCATGAGGCTGATATATCATCCTAAATCATAGCAAATCTAATCTGAAACCATTACTGGCTAGCGTTAAATATAAATAGTTACATTATACTGTAGAGAATAATACAGTATAACGGCGTCACTTCTGACAAACTACCCCATTCTCAGTTAAATACCAGTCACGTTCTGAAATCTGCAGCATAACCCAATGTGTTTTTCTATTTAATTAATAAACATTACATCTAAAACAACATGTTACTGGCTAAGATAACCATATATATTAGATTGTACTCTACATGAAATAATGGAATTTTACATGACTTTGTTTTGATATCAGCATATGTATCGGCCACAGGCCTCCCTGTTCTCTAAATATCAGCATCAACCATTGAAAAACCCATATTGGTCAACCACTAATACAAACAATGAGAGGGCTCACTCAGCACCACTAGTGGTCAAACACTTCACAGTGTCTTTCTGCTGCATGCAGCCAGTGTTCATAAAAATAACATCTTAGTTAGTCAAGTGCAGTGACACAATTTCCTCAAATACCAAGAATATGGACAGTGAAGTGTAATATTACAGATACAGACAACTTCAAACCCTGGTAACAGAGGGTTCAAGGTATCGTTTTCACACACAAGCAGAAAACACTTGCACTACTTTTTCCGTGCTGTAAGCATGTCTGGCAAGCTTCAACTACACTCCCCTTTTCCATAAAATGAATCATTATGATGATGCTGCACTCTTGTCACTGTTGAAACCTATGAGGAATCATCAGTTTTAACGCCTAATTATAACTCCATGTCATGAGGATCACTCACAGAGAAGCGATAGTGTCACTTCTAGCTTCCTGATACAAAATGTACACCTAAAGCTAATACTAAGTTAATAAGGAGGAGTTTCTTTCTCACCCTTTCCTGTCCGGCTGTATCCCAGATCAGAAATTTGTGTAGTTCATTTCCACTTGGCACTGTTTTGGTTAGGAATGATGCTCTGTGGATGATAAAGAGCGTTTCACAACGATGCTTCGAAGCATGTTCTCTAGCAGGCATAGGAAACCAAATGAGTACAAGTCAGCAGAAAAGAAATAATATTGAGAATAAAGATGTTTGACAGTGACCCATGTTGCCTGACTTATGCAATGTTGGGTAAGAGGTGCACAAAACAACAAGAAAAAGCCAACACAATGATATCAGTGATGACGGTGGGCTCAAAGATTTGTTTACATAAAACTAAATAACTTAATGACTCAATAACTTATCTAATCTCAGTGTATCTCTGCCTATTGTTGCTGTCATATTTTATAAACTGTAGTCATTTCACTAGTGTTAGTGTATACTCTAGTGTACAGTATATTCATTCATATTTGAAGCTTGCGCTAAATGAGCCAAAGGGACTGAGGTATATTACATTTCCTAGGCAACCCATTTTTTTTTCGATATCAGACATATATTGTTCTATCTGTAAATCAAACAGTTTAGCTTAAAAATGCTTCATGAATGTTTGATTCATATGATCAGTTATATTGGTATGATATTAACATGTAACCTGTCTTAATCATTAGTATATTACATTTGACTTAAAATTTCTATTTGACATGACACCTCCCGTGGTCAAATCGCAAAAGATTGTTGCCAATTCAGACTTCATCAAGCCCTACCTTAATTTGGGACTACAAAATGTTTGGGGCAAAGATAGCTTAAACAGAGACTAAAATCAAGCATAATGTTGCTATTGTTTGAGTGAGTTGTTTCCTGCTATTACACTAATGTCTAATGTGGTAATAATGGTAATAATGTGGTTGTAATGGCAATGCTCTTACCCTATTGTGGGACTTATGTTGTGGTCAAAATGATCCTGTACAAATCGGCAAACAATGCTGGATTTCCCAACTCCAGTGTCCTGCAAACAGAAGTCCGCACATCAGTCCCAGCACCCCAGACACACACATACACAGACTCATGGGTCATTATTGACTCCTATTGATTAGGCAACTGTCTGGTCACATGCCCACCCCATCAGATAGCTTCCTGTTAGTCCATGAATTCTACAAAGTAAGTTAGCTCGGGATTTATAGTCAATTTTACTTATTTGTGCAAGACAACATACTGCATTTCCCAATCACATAAATAACAATTACATTTACATGAAAACTCAGGGACTTTTTGGCTGCATGTAAATTAATGTATGTCCCGTGCCTTTTATGTAATCCAGGCATACTGACAAGATTAGGAAGGACAATCTTTGGTTAACTTGGGTTGGCTGTTAAAATGCTTAGTGAGCATTTCAGCGGCCTGTGGCGGAATGCACGAGGCCTGGTAAACGTTTATGTAGCTCCAACAAGTTCCAAGCTACCTTTACTTCATTAATAATCTACCACTTTGCAGTCCAAGCGTCTCTGACCGCCACTGTCTCCCGTCGATAAAAAAGGACCGCTGTGTTTTGCTAACGCAGCAGGAAATAACGGCTTGCTTGTAGCGGTTGGTCTGGCGGTGACGTCATGGCTGATAAACTGTCAGAGCCGTTCAAAACTACAGATAAAAACGCGCAGAAAACTGCAGTTCATCGATGAAAACATGAAAAACAGACGTACAGGGCGATGAAACGAATGTAAAGCGACTTGCAGCGCTCACCGGCCCATCAGCTTTTGTTTTTCAGTTAACTAAGTTAGCTGTCAACATTAGTTAAAATTTTTTTTATACTTTTCTGACTAAGAACAACACGAAGAAGACCGTTCCAAAAACCGAGACCGATATTCGTGTCAGGTGGAGTTGCTAACTTCTGTTAATGTGTTGTTAACGACAAATGTTGTCGGTTAGTTAACACTCAGACCGAAGGAATTTCAACAAAAACATCTGCCACTTACCCCTAAAAGGCAAACTTTCAGCTCCCTTATGGCCATGGTAAGTTGAGGACGTTTTTAAATCATTATTTGTCAGTGTTCACTCAGTGTCTTTGTCTCGTCATGCTTGAAACTCTTGATTCCCCCCCTCTCTTCTTGGATAAAAGAGAAACCCAGCCCCTGAGACAGACAGGCTGACCAGACCATCTCCTCTAAAATACTGTCAAGTTGTATAAACGACAATATTATATCCGGTGGTAACTTTCAAAATAAAGACCATCATAGCCCGATATAAATTACTCCAGATTGTAGACTTCCTCCAGATATGTTTCAAGACATCGAACATAATATGCTTGGACTAATAATTTGTCCGTGATGTGGTTTTCCCACAAAAAATTTAATTATAAAAACATTCTTACAGTTAACTTACATCTGGCCTACTCTTCCATTGGAAGAAATCTTTGACTAAATGACCAAACATTGTTTCAGAAGTAAAACTAGTAGATGCAAGTGCTTTCTTAGTGTATGTGCACTGAGACGTAATATGTTTACATCACACTTGAGTAGACAACTATTGGCTTCAAAATTAGTTGCCATTCACAAAATCATGCTTGAACGTTTATGCCTTAAACGGAAACGTGATCAGCAGCAATGTGAAAACAGTCTTGTGTGAAACTCTCCCGAGGCTACATTACAACTCAGTAAAGGCCAAAAATCCAAGTGAAGTAAAAAAACAAAAAACAAAAGGCAAAACACATTTTTGATTGGAGGGGGCACACTTTAATTTTGAAACCAGTTTTATGTATGTCCGGTTTTCTGGCTGTTTTTTTGTCCTACTTGACGCGCTTACTTTCCAAATCGGAAACCAGTTAAAGCAATGACAAAAAAGTCGGGTGGATCCACTATCGCTAAAGTCTTGATTCCGAGTCAAAACAACAATTACAAGCTTCACTTCCTCAAAATGGATGCAAGGGTTTTATTCACAACCTCATTAGCCTGGGAAAGGGAAAGAGAATATGTAATGGAAACTAGGACGTAGGCCTACTAAATATGGACCACAATTAAAGCCAACAGAGTTGAGTAAAAAGGTAAACATCATCTCTTTGTGTTAGAGAAACAAACAGAGATTCAGATAAATGATTAGGATCGACACTTTATTCTTCACAGCATTATTCTGTCTGCAACAATAAGCTACAAAAGCCTTGGAACAATATGAAAATAACCTCATGAGAAGCTTCTGAGCCCAATCTAGCATTTATCTGTTTCAGTCACAGGATTAATAACAGGCTGAATCATGAGTCCAGATGAGATTGCTTCGATTTACCTGTGACCAAAGCAGAGGCAGTCACACTAACTTTAATTAATGATAATAATAAAAAACAGAACATATGACAAAACATAAGAGCTGAAAATACAGTATGTTTGCAATTTTACAATAATATACACAAACAGTAAGTCAGGTCATGCCTTTGCTTTAAATATCACTGAATAATAACTTTTCAATAGCCATGGATCAAATGAAATGATTGACTTGTAATCTTGACCTTTTTTTTGTTGACTCACTTCCAACTGAGGCCATGGATAACTCCACACATCAAGAGTCACTCCACACATCAAGAGTCCCCCCCCCCCCCCCCCCCACACACACAACCAAATACACAACAAAACTAAGCAAGCCTCCTGCGTGTCTCTGCACACATTTTGGCGACAATCATCACTACAGATGTGTTATTCCATGTAAAGCTGGAGAAATGTAATTTTGCATGTTTCCTTGTTTGTGCATGAGATAACAGAGAAGATGATTGCACTACAGCGCAGAGTGTTGTTACACAGAGTGACTGTAACAACACTGCCTGTTTTTCTACATTTTGCAGTGATTAATATTGTTTTTGTTGCGTATTTACAACACCACTGTGTCTATGTGCATCTGCTGTTCCAAGAAAAAAAGCATCTACAATATATTTATACATATATTCATATATTACTAAAAAGCGGCAATTTAAATTCAATGTATTTCTTGAATAGTCATCCGTATTCTTCAGAATACTACTTAAATATATAATATATAGATAGACCAATCATAAATTCTTCATTATTCAAAGAGCTTTTGTATTAGTGGTTCACAGGGGAAACGTGTCCAGTCTGGCATTTTCAGTTATGGCACAGTGGTCTCTATCCTAACAACAAATTTGCATCTAGGTAAGGGACATAGTGAGTACAGGGACTGAGATTATATCTGGTCTACGTTCATTTCTTGAGCCCTTACCAGCAAAAAATAAATTTTATGTGATCTTCTTACTTGCCTCCATCCATCCCCCTTCTTCCTTCATACAGGCTTGGCACCGTGAATCTGATAATATGGACCATCTAATCTCTAACAGTAATAGCCAGTTGTCCGCTACAGCTGCTACTCTGTTTTTGTGTTTTGCATGTGACAATGGGAAACAAACTGATTTCTACTAAAAGAGTCAGGACGCCAAAGAGAGAACAGATTTTTCCATGGCTGCCACTTGGTGGACACAATTGCTAATGAACTTATGGATCCAGCAAAGTGAACTCTCCAGTGGAGATCTAACAGCGGTAGAGATGTACAGCAGACACAGAGCCACCAAATAAATTGCTGAGATGACATCTCACATGTTGGTGTCTCTCCTGTCTTTGCTAGGTGAGGGCTTTGAAGGATCCTTAGCTGCTTTGCCATTGGCCGAGGCGGCGGTGTCTGCAATGGCAGCCACCGCGGCAATGGAGCGTTTGGTTTGCTCCTCGCTCCGGGGCTCCGGGCTCGGCTGCACAGGGGGGGCCTGCTCAGCCAGCGGCTGGACGGTCTGTTCCTGCTGCAGTTTGTGGCTCTGCAGGAGGCGAAGCTGGACGCGGAGCTCCAAAATGGCTTCCTGTTCCTCGTGGATGGCCTGGTTCAGGTGGGTGTTTTTGTTCTACAGGGCAATAAAACACAGAGAGTGATTGAGAAACCAACTAGTTCATCTCAGGCAATATTTACAGGGAGAATATTTATTATATATGGCTCCCGTCCATACTCTAAAAACATCTGCAGAAAGAAACCCACAAATGAAGTTGGGGAGATGTGGGGCATATGTGTTGTACAGCGCCAGCAACAGAAATGAAATGTCATGGAAAGGAGAGAAAGTTGTGAACATTTGTCATAATAGGTGAGAGATGTGACCCCAGGAGTAAACCGGGAGAGGACAATGAAATGCAGGAGTCTCCCGTGAAAATCATAAGGCCTGCAGTCTGTACGTAGCCTTAGTAACACATACAGTGTTCTAAAGTGCACTTTTAGAATTTTCCTGTCAGATCTTAAGTGAAACTTCAAGGTAAATATTAACCACATATGCTGCATGTTTTTCTCACCTCCAGTTCCTCATTTTGCTTCTGCAGGTCTTCAAGAATCATCTGAAGCTCTTCCTCATCTTCACTCTCACTTTCACTGTCTGACGAATATTCCTCTGTCTCACTGCGACCCTGCTGCCGACTGAGGAACACAATGTTACATGTCATTTAAGTTGCATGTCATGTTACCACACATTTCCTACCTAAAATGGTTTCAGTCTTCCCACACCTCTGTATGTCTGCAATCTCTGCTCGCAGTCTCTCGATTTCTTCCTTCTCAGTAGCAATCTGTCTACGAAGCACCTGCTCAAGAGAGATCAGCTCCTCCTGCTCTGTTAGGATCTCATTTTCCTGATTATTGAAGCGAAGTGGGGGAAAACACAAAATGATTGCATCTCAGGTTGGCATTGATGGAGTTGAGTTTGAGTGAAATGTGCGTTCAGACTTTCAGTCTTTATAAACACATTTTTGTGCGTTTGAATGACTCACCTGTGCTAAGAGGAGGTTGATGACTTCCTCTTCATTCTCGGTCATTTCCTCTTTTGAAACATCTTCCTTTGAGAGGCTCGCTATCTCCTGGGCTATCTTGCTCTCACACTCCTAAGAAGACCAAAGGAGGAAAGATACAGATACAAAGCTCAATGATCAAGCAATTCCGTGTTTTCCAGTGAACCTCGTATTGTTAATCTTTGTTCAGACTATATCAGAGAGGTCATAATTCATGTCTTTGGCCATTTTAGAGGCTGTAGTTTCAGTATAGAAATTACAATATTTGAATTACTTTTACTTTACTGCTGTAACTGAACAAGCAATGATTGTTCTTGCCCTTTTTAAATGAAATACCTTACATATGAACACACAAATGGACACAACTTACCTGACGTTTGGCCTCCCTCAGTTTGCGTTTTAGAGCGGTCAGGATTCTCTGAACCTCCCAAAGTCGCTCCTCTTTAGACAAGTCCTTCACCCCCGCCTGCAGGTCCCTGTGCAGGCAGTTCAGCAGGAACTCCTAAAAACACATTTTTATAACATGTCAAAATTTTGTTGACACTCCAGAACAACTTAAACTTAAAATGAGTGCAACAGTCAAACATGTTTCAATTCCAATCAGGGAAACAAAGAAAGGGGGAAAGTATGGTACAGAAATCATCTTTCTTTTAACAGCAAAGACTGCCATAAACTTTAGGGACTTCCTTCATTACTGGAAGCATATGCATGGACTTTTAACATGCAAACATGTCATTTCACCCTACAGGACACAGGAACCTTATCCTTATCACTGGGATGACACTTAAGAACCACTCAAGGTATTTTAATGCTGACTTGCACAATGTTGCTGATGTAAAGTGCAACAAGTCAAGTGTCTCCAGTTTTTGTTTATTTTTCCGTGTGGCGCATGCACTAGAACTACTGGCAACATATTAAGTCCTGGCACACTGAGAAACTGAAGCAAAGATAAAGATGTGCACTGCTGACAAGACAATGTAATATAAACAGAAGCAGCTTACTTTGCTAAATTTCTGCGGCATTACTATGTATCTACTATGTAATACTTTAATCTCTACTCGCCATCTGCGTACTTAAAAACAGTATGTAAATTAAAATTTAGAGAACTCAGAAACAGCAATATACCTAATAAAATACTTTTCAAATATTTCTCTGAAGACAAAGTATACACATTTTACCAAAGGCATCATAAAGCAGATGCAAAAAGGAAATGGATTAGGGCCATGACTAGCAATTTCTTTCATTATCCATTCATCTGTAAAAACATTTTATTTAAATTAATTGATTAACCAAATTTGAACCAATTGTGTCTATAAAATGTCAGACAAAAGTGAAAAAAGTGGCTATCTCAAGTTTTCAAACTGATGTCCTCAAAAAGCTTGTCCAACAAACTGTTTAAAACACAAAGATTCAATTAACAATGGTATAACACAGCGATAAGTAGGAATTTAATATTGGAGATTTAATACTTGGCATATATTTTTGACATTCAACATGAGCTGGAGCTTAGAGACACTTAGCTTAGCATCTTATATCTCATTTGTTTAATCCACACAAAAAAGACAGTGTAAAAATAACAAGTTGTGGCTCCAGCTTCATATTAAATGGACAGACATGAGAGCATCAGTCTCTGCAGGAAATAGAATAAGTGTATTTTCCCCAAAATGTCTAACTATTCCTTTAATCTTCCATTTATCGGTTCTGTCAATAAATTAGTTGACTAAAGTTAACAAATTGGCTGCACAGCGGGACTGAAGCCACCTGTCGTCGGATCTCCTCTTTGATGCTCTCCTGGGTCTCAGGCAGCGCCGGCATTGTTGCCATGTTGGACCAACGGAGGGGCCGCACCACTGGCTTCAGGACTACGTCTCCAAACAGCTCCCTCACGTGTGTGAAAAATATGTAAAGGACACGGTTCCCAATCTGAACACAAGATAAACAAATCAGTGAAGCCAAAGCACACAGTTTTAGTACTCTGCACAAGACTGCATCTAGTCTTGCAGTGCATGTCAGATAGTGTTTGTATTATGTGTGTTAGACTGCAGCATGAAACCGAATCGTCACAAATTCCTGCATGTTTATTTAGCTTGATCAAACTGACCCTGGACTCTGCTCATTAATTGAAAACAGTGTTTATTTAACAGTGTTGTTGCTACTGCTGCTGTTGGTTCACAGTAAGTGGAGCAGTCACAGAGACGTCCCCTATGGGAATAAATTATATTCACTAAACTGGGCCAGGGTTTTGGGATGAACTGAGCGTTTGATCCAATAAGAGCTCAGTTGGTTTGTTGCTAAGGGGAGGTTTCTAATCTTCAGGTACACTTAAGCCTCAGCCCAAGACTCATTTTTGTATTTAATGTTTAGTTTGCCTGTTGCTGTTGAATTTCTGCTCTCTGCAACATTTTCTCTTCCTTTGTTATATTTTCCCATTCATTGTTCATCCACCCTTGCTCTCTGACCTGTATGGTAGGGTTGAGGACGATGGAGATATTCTGAATATTCATCTTGGTGTCCGCCTCCCTGACGATGACATGGTCCATGTGCGTTATAAGCCAGGAGAGAATAAGTCTGCAGTCCGGCGCTACCTCGGCCAGCAGCTTCTGGAACTCCGTCACCTTCTCTGCCTCCACCTGCCGACCGCAGGCGTCCTCGAAACGCTGGGTCAGATCCCGGCCCAACAGGTTTTCTGGCAGCTCGCGTAGGTACTGCTTCAGTAGGCTGGCAACCGTGTGGGGGTCATACTCCTCCAGGCAGGGGCACTCCTCACGGTCATATGCTGCTTTCAATTCATCCACCTTGGACTTCATACCTGAGAGGGAGAGAAGCCAATGTGAGTATGAATCAAACATTGAGATACATACTAGTATAGGGGTGTGCCATATCGGTATAATTTTTAATATGATTTTAAAAATTCTGATTTTGATGATGTAAATATTCCTAATTGTTGATGTAACGTCATACAGACACTGCAACAACAAGCATGGCTGAAAGCAAATGTCACATTGCTACCAGCTCCAAGGTAGGCGACGTCAGTGGTATGGAAGAGGTTTGGTTACAAAACATCAGATGTAACAAACTATGTAAAGTGCAATAAGACTGTAACAACAAAAGGGGGAAATACAACAAACTTATTTCACCACCTCAAGTGGAAGCACCAGCACTGCTAAAAATCCCGTGAAGAATATTATTATTGTAGAAATATCATGAAATATTGTCATATTATTTTAGGGCCATACCCCTAACTATAGTTATATCTTTTTATGTACTTTTTTGTTATGGAGCGGATGATGTAAAAATCAACAGCCTCCCAAAGTTTCTATACCTGAGACCCGGTAGATGCCTTCACACTTCATGCCATAATTTTCAATGTAGTCAACACATTCTCTGAAGACGGCTGGCAGCTGGATACCATCATAGAGAGCTGTCCTCTTGACAGCTTCGGCCAGAGGCGCCCCAAAGATGGGCCTGAAAGTGGGGGTCTCCACTGGGACTGGCTCTGCCTCTGTTGTCGGCTTCTTCTTCTTCTTCTTCTCCTTCCATTGCTTAACCACGTCTGCAGCTGTCAGGTCCTTAGATTTTTTATCCTTGGCCTTGTCCTCCTTGGGGCCCTTCTCCTTCACCTTGAAGTCCTTTTCCTTCTTCTTGGAGAAGCTGGGCTTCTTGAACACATGGATTCCCTTGGAGCGCTTCATCTTGGATGGGCTCTCGGCTTCGTCTGCTGAACTGTCCTCCTGGAAGGCGGCGTAGCCTTCCGCTGTGAAAGTAAAGAAAGAGTAACAAGAGGCAAAAATAGGGTTAGATCTGAGGGGAGAAACCCCCCTGTTTTCTTTTCCTCCTCCTAAGACAGAACTATAATAGCAGCGAAATAGAAACAGGAAGAGAGATGTGTGTGAGAGAGAGAGAAGATGGCAAAGGAGGGGGAGAATGGGGACTTAGAAAAGAGGTCAGCCACCAATTTAGCATAGCTCCCACTGCACCTTACGCTTCTCCTCTCTAGAACAGACTCAGTTCAAATATTTTTCCTCAGAGCACACAGCTACAACATGGTCTTCACAGTTTTTGTCTCTTCTAATTATCTCTACTCTGGATTTTCCCACCCGAACAGACCCTGTTTATCACATAGCTGCCTGAGACACACCTTCACCAGGCTCTCTGGGTGTGTCTGTCACTGTCCATCTCTTCCTTTCTCCCACCATACCCTGGTGTAGGAGCTAAATACAGACATGGAAAAACACTGACACAAAGTGGACAATGTGCCTGACCAGTAAAGGAATATTTCTCACCGCTACAGCCAGCAACAGCCAACATTATGGAAAAGTGGGAAACTCTCTTTACTCAACAACTACTACTACCACTACTGAGGCTTCAACAACATTACAAATGTATTCAGTCCTCAGCTGCTCTAAAGCTGAACCATAAGTAGATGACCTGGATGTACTTGGCGGCTCCCAGATGTTAAGGATTAGGATGGTGATATTCTTCATTATTCTTAAAACATTTCCTGTGTCGCTGAAAACTCCTAAAACACTATTTAAAAACACATCAGTGAACATTTATCCTTGCCTAAATTCATGGGGTTCAAGCTCCATAGCAAAAAACGCTTTCTTCAGTTACTACACATTACTACTCATTAGTATACCGACCGTATACTCAAGTAAAGCACGGCTGCAAGTACGCAAGGTCGCCAAAATGCTTTTTTCATAATTATGAGATATCATAATGAACTTACTACAGTATATGACAGTGTAAAAATGCAGGATTTACCCACTAAACTCATTTCTTATAACCAACATTAACTATAAGACACCTTAAAGCCAGGGAAAGTGGCAACCTCTGGGTCTGAAAAGTAAAGCTAATGAGGAAGTGCCTTAAACCAGCATTCTTTCTAAAAGCCAGCAGGGGGCGACTCCACTGGTCGCAAAAAGAAGTCCAACTTGACAAAATTACTCTACTTCTCACCTGATTTATTACTACCTAAGTATACACTTTCATAATGGGTTTATGGTCTCAATCTTTAGTTTCAAGTCTTCCTACAGCATGACTATCATGTCTTTTAAATTATGGTCCCATTTAGAAGAAAACAGACGATAAATCAGGGTATTATTTGGGGCAGGGCTATCTTGTGATTGTGAAGGTACTAACATAGCAGCCTGTCTATCAGGACAGAGACGAATCGTATTACATTTGACCAGCACCATCAAATAAACGTATTAGTCGGCTGCTAGCCAAAATTAGCATCCAAGTTAATGTCACAGTTACCGTGAATTACGAATGCAACTTGCTAACCGAGCTAGCTAGTGCCACCCTCTTGTCCAAATAAGGTCATGTCCAGTCTTCTCTGGTTCCAAAAAAAACAAGTTGGCAATGGCCAAAAGGCTTCAAAATGGTAGTCCACAAACCAATGGGTGACATAACGTTGACTACGTCCACTTCTCTTATACAGTCTATGAGCTAGGGTAGGCAACACTGGAGAAACTAGCAAGAGATGGCTAGAAAAAAATCCCACCCCCTCCCTTCAGGCGTTGATTTATTGATTGCTGTCGGGATGTAAAGAGAATTTCAACAAATACAACAAGAAATAAATTCCCTTTCCTAGCTTTAAAGTATTCTCATTCCCATGAATATAGTTTTGTTATACTCAAACGTGTATTAAAACGTCTCAGCCATTACTCGTAGCTTTGATGAAGCTTAGGAAAAGGCTGAAAGAGCAGCAAAATGTCCGTTAAGCGACTTTTGTTGAGAAATATTTGTCAGAATGTTTTTTCCAAGGTCAATAAACCTTCAAGCTCAAATTACAGGATCATTTCTTACTCCTTTTCTCCTTCTTCTTGAACTTGTTCTTCTTCTTGTTGTGCTCTTTGTCATCGTCTGAAACGTATGCGTCAGGTGCCTCGTGGTGGTGATGGCCATCATGAGGTGGCGATGGCTCCCCGGTGCGGTACAAGCCGGGGAACTTGGTGGGACTGATCTCCTCGGAGCTGGGGGTGCGGGCCACGCCCCCTGGGTGCTCAGCCCTGCGCTGCTCTGCAGGGCTGCTGCTGGGGGGCAGAAAGCACTCAGTCATGGCTGCTCTGGCCTTCTCACTCCTCTGACTGGCACATCACCTCTCCATCACACCTGTAGTGGACAAAAAAACAAGATACTAACAATACAACCCTCCAAACAACTTCTCAGATAATCTGTGTGCAGATGTTTTAATTATTCCTTCTGCTTGTTATCCACCCTTTTTTGTTTAACAGGCAGTGGGCCAGGTCTTTGAGTTTTACAAAGCTTTCCAGTACTTTCCACCATATAGATGAAATTATTTTTCTTGTCTCATTCTATTGGATGATTTTAAACTTTCAACTTCGACCCATTTAGAGAAATTGTACGACTCTTTTTCATCCAGTTTGAATATATCCTACAATCATATGCATGACTGAACTATGTTGCAGTGTATGTCTTCTCTCAGTACAAGTTTCCTCTTCTGTACCCAGGACTCTCTTGCAAAAGATATCAACCTCAATCAGTTTATCTAAACAAATAAGGGGTAAAAAATATGTTTTGCCAGAGTAAAATAAAGTTACACTAGCTTATGAAGACCTGCTGAGCATTACAGAAGGAACTATGTAAACATACATTAGAGCAACACAAATGTACATGAACAGCAAGAAAAAATCAGAACAAAATGCACTCATTGTCACAGCAGTATGTGCACCACCAAATGGAAATCTATTTGGCAATTTAGTTAGATTAGGAAATATGTACGCATGGTTCAGGAACCATGTTAGACACAACTGTAACACAATTAACCAATAAAAGCTTACATTATCTTAAGCTAAGATAGGATTAACATGCTTCCTCTTCTTTCTTTCTGTCCTGATTATTTTAATGACTTCCGTTTGAACAGAACAAATGCAGCAGTGATGTCCACCCACCAGATGGGGCTCTATATGAACAAGCACATCTTCCATGTCCTAGCTACTTCTAGCCAGCCAATTCTGACATCCAGAGTCAGCTAATATAAATACTACAGTCCTCTTCATCAAACATAGAAACAGTGATTTATCAGAAACACAGCGCTGATTACTGTAGATAAGCAGATATTTAGTCATCTGATGAGCTGCATGATTACACAAGAATTTTAAACAATAGTACGGCTGTCAGCATAGATTATGTTACATTAACGCACAACGTGAAAGTCATCAGGTTGAACATGTTTTAGAAAGTAGACACATTTACGGAACACCAGCAAGGGTGTGTTTAAAAACACAAGCCCCTATTTACAAGCTCAAACCGACAGCAGGTTGAAGATCTGTTACATATTGATACTAGCACCAACATTAAGTTAAAGTCAAGTGGTTTCTGTAATGCATTCTCAGCTGCTCCAAGAAAATACGCAGCAGCACCAAGAAGACAAATGTGACAAATGATATAACACAACAGCTATACGTTCACTAACTAACGTCTTAATCCTTCTTCACTGTGGGTAGAGTAACCTCACAGTTTTCTTGCCCTGTCCTGTTTGCAATGGAATACTAATCAACCACAACCAGTCACACACCATCAACGTCCTCTTAACATACTCGGGTTCGTTTCTCTACTAATGAATTTAGGCATATTAACACTAAAACAGTCAGAAAGTAGGAGCTCTCTTCTGAATGGAGGGGCCCATATGCTAACGTTAGTTCAGCTAGCTGCCAACCTGCTAAGCTAGCTGATTAGCCAGCCTGTCCGTCACGATTAAAGCCGCTGTTTCGACCAGACAAAACCAACATGATATATAGTTCGTCACATGTGCTAAACTCTATTTTGCAACAGCTGTACTGTCGTTGAACACGAAAAGCACAAAAGAAAAGAAACTTTACCGAGTACTATCCCGTTTGGTAAATTTCAGAGTACAGCTTCCGGATGGCTGTATACTAAATAAACCCATCTGCGCTTGCGCAGTGGGACAAGTGCATAGTGGGAAACGTAGTTCGAAACTGAACGCTTCATTTCCTTCGGGCTTTCATGAGCGTTCACCGCAAATGTACTGTATAGTCTATGCAGGTTTCTTGACCGAGAATGATCTGGAATTAATGGAGAATGTTTAGGCTGTGGTTTCATTTTGCTCTAAACCACAAGGCTGCTGTTATACAAGCCTGTGTACAAGAGAAACTGTCAAATAATGTTTTGAAAAGTAACTATAATCTAAATTTGGTAAAACCACTTGCTATTCTGAATCATGTGTACTTTCCCAAACGCTGTGGTTGGAGCGTTGGTCATCCTGACATATGAAACACATTAGTCCTCTGATCTTTGTTGGCACCGTCTGCTCCAAACCCAGCTGCAATGGCGAAACGAGGTCGTGATTCAATATCATAAAAAAAGACAAACAAGGTCTCATTGTGCATCGGGTACATTAGTCTGTGCAAACTGCTGTTGCATGCCAATTGGGAACAGAATCTGTGATAGAGCACCCTGCTGCCTTTTGAAAATGCACTGGCATTACAAAGAGCATTTGTATGTGGCAGTCAGGGATTGGCATTGGTAAACATTCCGTTTCCCCTCCGCTTGCACGAGACGGTCAGTGATCATTGGAACACCTGTGGACCAGAATGGTATAATAACAACTTTGTTTCCCCAGGAAATGATGTGTTTCCTGACTTAGGGCAACACTAGTCTAAGATTAGAGCAGGAGACAGGCAACTGGGAGGACAAGCATTTACTTTTTCACTTATGCTATGCACTTTTTACACAAAAAAATATAGTAAATGAAGAAAATACATTTTAAAAATCAGACACCTGTCTGTGAGACAAAACAGTCCATGTCACCAAACTTTTCTTTATTTGGCACGAGACTGGGATTTAGCAGACCATACTTGTAAAAATACATTATTCATATACATCTCTAGTAAAAAAAACACTATTGAAAACATATCTAAAAATATACAGCATAACAGCAGAATAAAAACAATTGCAGGGGTAGGGGGAGGGGTCTAGGGGGTATTTTACAAGGTAACTGAGGAATGCTAACACATAACAGTCATAGTTTCCTCTGCCCTCAGTCTTCTGGTATGGCCCAGACATTTGGTACCAATATGTGCCCGCACTTCAGAAGAGACAGTTCATGCACTTTACAGCCTTGCTGCCGTAGTCCACACACTCAGGTCCGATGCACTGGCAGCAGGCGTTGTGAAACCAGCGGTACTTGGATCCTCCCATTGACTCACAGTATTGTTTACACTGACGGATCGACACGCAGTCGTCAAAGTAGACCACTGTGCACATGTTTTCTGAAAAAATTAAAATAACAGGACAGGCAAAGAAAAGATGTGAGTCACAAATCCTATAAACATGGTTTATAAAAACAAGCCCCATTTAAAAGTAATTACCTTTAACCCCCAATGTTCCTTCTTTTACTTCAGGGAGGAAATTAATTTGCTGCAACTAAGTATGGCCATATGTTTTGGTGAGCTTAATGAGTTAACTGCTCGGCTCTGTGGGAGCGCTCCTATTATGAGTGTGTCTTTATAGCAAATAGCACTGGCTTAGAGGTAGACAGTCAAAACAGCCACAAATGAAAAAAGAATAAAAAATGGCAGCGGAGCAACAATTTCAACCCAGTTACAGTTCCCTAAACTAGAGATCGTTTGGCATTTGAAACGATGAAAACCTGACCCAACCCAAACTGGTCTTAATTCAAGACTTTGTAGTCTTCAGCTCTGGGATGGGCCTGATTTTATTACCATGGGTCTTAGTGAGTGTGCATAAATGGAAATGAATACTTTGACTGGACCTGACGGGACCTCAAAACTATGTCGTAACAAAGCAGGCCTTTTCTCATGTAATGCAACTTATTCAGAAAACTTATGAGTGTCGGGGATGTAATGCAAGCTCTCTACAGGCGCCAAAACCAAAGTGAGGCCGCACATTATCAAATGGCTAGTGACTAACCAGTCTTGATTCAGGTCCGTCAGAAGCACTGGATGGCTTCTCTCCAGTAAGGCAGGGGAGGAAGACATAAAAGTAGCTATGGTACTCATTATGCATCAGTACAGCAGTCAGTGGTAAATCAGTATTTTATTGTGGGATAATTGTTGCTGATGCATAAACATGCAAGGAGCATTTTAATGTTGGTGTAGCTCGTAGCTGTTCGACCTGTAGCTAATTTAACTACTTTATATAACATTGGATAGTTTAATCCATAACAATGCTTCATATTTTATAAGCTCATCATGTTTTATGTGTCAAATCATAATCTGCAAAGTAATTATTAACTATAGCTGTCAAATAAATGTAGTGGAGTAAAAAGTACAATATTTCCCTCCGAATGTAGTGAAATAGGAGGACCTCAAAAGTATATAAGTACAGTTCATGTGTCTCATTTTACACTGAAAAACCAAACCTTGAGTCTCGTAGCTGGCATGGATGGTGTTGCCAGGCAAGGACACGTTTTGGGGATGATTGTCGAGGGACTCCAGAAAGGACACCAGGTTCTCGTGATGGGAGAGCTCCTCTGCGACAGGGAAAGACACCACCATCATGTTGATTGGCGGTTCGCCTTCTGTGAGGGCGCGGAACAGCGAGGGGATGGGGCGGTGCAGCTCCTCCACAGTGCTCTTCGACGTGGCTGGAGAGTCGCTGTAGTTCTTGGGGTTACACATCCCTGACATAAAGAAGACGGACGAAGACATTAAAAGGGTCAGCGCACGGAAATGACACACTTTCAGCCATGCATATCATTTTAGTTTATCTGCACAGGATTTTTCTGCTGCCCACCAATACAAAGGAAGTGAATGGGATTTAGTTTTGTCATTATTTTAAAAAAGATTATTTTTCAATGCTATAAGCAACCCAGAGATACTCTGGATAATCCAGGTAACTGTAGTGTATAATTCTGGTGGACAACGCAGAATTTAATATTTAATTTAATATTGTCAAATCTAGTTTGAAAAATATCAGCATTTACAAAACCAACATGTTTAATATGTGTCATTATTGAACGGAACCAAATTCACAGATATAACAGCAAGAATGTGCTGCTAGTCCTCAATGCAGCCCTGACTGGGATGGCAGAAGTCTCAGACCCTAAAACCTGGG